ATAAAACTAAAAAAACCAAAAAAAGCCCCCAAAAAAAGCCCAACCAACATTTTAATGCTATGTCTGAATCTGAATTAAAAAAAAGTAAAGTTTGGTTCCCAAAGCAATTAAATGTACAGCTTGGCACAAATAACCTTGTATATTACTACCGATGGTAAGTTTTGTGACTTCATATCTATAGTATGTGTGCAATATGGTTCAAGTGGGAACCATAACTTTGTGGGAACCATAACTTTGAATTGTCTTGCTTTTACACATTTATAATATCAATTCTGTAATGTTAATGTCATTTTAGCATTATTCTTAAAAACTGATTTATCATATGAATATGCTATGTTAGAGTAAAAACAGGTCAGAGGAGGGGGGCTAGTAGTACTGCCTATTACTAAAATTTGTCCCATTGTAAGAACCTATTTTCAGATGCTTTTATCTGTATACACTGTTAAGTGGTTCAGCTAAAATTTTCAATGGTGGGTCTATGCCTCAGGCTAAATATTTCTGAAAAAATTATGCCCAAATGGCTAGCCTAGCCATTTCTGAGACAAGGTTAGGGAAATATTAGTATTTCTAATACATGGTTTTATCTATGTCCGTGGTTCTCAAAGTGTAGGTTGGGACCCTAGAGTGGACTGCAACACCATTTTTAGAGTTGCCTGTTCCGGCTTAGATTTGGATGGAGGCCCACCATAACACCCGGGCCAAAACTGAAGCCAGAGGGCTTCAGTCCTGGGCGGCAGGGCTCAGGTCACTTGCCCCCTGCCTGAAACTGAAGCTTTAGGGCTTCTTCTTTGTCTCCCCTGCCATTTTCGGCCTGGGGTGGTGGAGCTCCAAGGCTGCAGGTCAGGGTTTGGTTCTCTCTCCTGGGGTCATGTAGTAATTTTTGTTATCAGAAGGGGTCATGATGCAATGGTTTGAGAACTCCTGACTTATGTTAAAATGAAAATTCACATAAATGTGGCCAACAGGTAAGTATTTACAAAAATCACAGTTTGCAAACACTCAATAGAGACTTGCCAGGAAAATGTCACAAAGTTTTTTTTCTGCACTGGGCATCACCTGGCCTGAAGCTTAGCAGAACTTTCCCTGTAACCATATTTCTGTGCTGTGGGCTGTGCTGGGACTTGACACTGGAACCGACAGAGACAAGGTTAACCAACCAAGTCATCAGGGTGATGTGTCTGGGTTTGCAGTGACTGGACAGAGATATAAGTGGGGCGTTTGAAGTGGGGTACAGGGAAAGTTTGGGTAAGTGAATGGAACCTTGTTGGACTAGTGAGCCTGAGAGACAAAAGACATTGCTCCATTTGAGCTGGGACGGTTACTTGTGGGGAGTTACGAACTCTGTTCATGGTATTTTCCCAAGTTAATGCCATGTCACTTCTCTCTCTCTCTTTCATTAAAAGTTTATTTTCTACACTCAGACTCTGCTTGCAAGTGGGGAAGCATTGCCTCTCAGAGGCGCCCACAGGTGTGTGTGAATTTCCCAGGCTACTGGGTGGGGGCTAGAGCCAGTTCTGTGAGAGATGGACCTCTAGGGTACGTCTAGACTACAGGCTTCTGTCGACAGAAGTTTTGTCGACAGATACCGTCGACAAAACTTCTGTCGACAATGAGCGTCTAGACTACATTGAGTTCTGTTGACAAAGCAAGCTGCTTTGTCGACATGGTAGTGTGGACGCAAAGGACAGTTTACATGCAATAACACCTTCTGTCGACAGAAACTCTGTCGACAGAAGGCGTTATGCCTCGTAAAATGAGGTTTACCAGCGTCGACAAAATTGCTGAGTTCTGTCGATGTTATGTCGACAGAACTCAGGGGTAGTGTGGACGCAGGTATAGTTTTGTCGACAAAAGTCCACTTTTGTCGACAAAACCCTGTAGTCTAGGCACACCCCTAGATATTGAACCCGGCCCTGGTTGCTGCTGGTGCTACCCAGCAGAAGGGTTACAGACACACAAGCTTTTGAGCCACCCACAGATCTTCTTCACATCTCAAAAACTGTCCTCTCTCACCAACAGAAATTTTGTCCAATAAAAGATACTACTTTACCCGCCTTGTCTTTCTAATATTCTTGGACCAACATGGCTACAGCAACACAGGATAAAGCTTGGATCCTCTCTCTTTTGGTCTCAGGGTATGCCTCCACTACTCTGTAAGCTCATGCTTGAACCGCGCCCCAAGCCTAATTCCTCACTTGCATCTACACCGCAATTGTGCTAACTCAAGGACCCATGACCTTGTAGGGCTGGAGGGTCCAAATATGAGTTACGCCAGAAACCAAGGTCTGAGCCCTACTGTTCTGCAATGTAGACAAAGCCTCGCTTGTCTCAAGAGTCAGACAGAAGTATCCCACAATTCTATGAGAAAATTTCCTCACACTTTTCTACTCCAACAACCTGTGTAATCCACTCTACCAAAAATGGAAGCCACTTGGTCTTCACCCCAACTTTGTAAACGGCAGCTGCTCAAGTAAGCATTAATATAAGCCATTGTATTACTGATCTGAAACCACACATTCTAATACTCATCTGCTAGCAAGCCTCCTGGGTTTTCAATGGATTTGTTTGTCAAAACAAATCAAGACTCTTGCAAAGAGATTTGTTTTCTGGTAACATACAGTCCAGGCCGTAAAGTTTTCCCACAGCGCATCTATGTCCTATGTCCAGATTGGTCACATTTGGGGCAGGATGAATGCAAGAGCTTTCGGGATATGGTTACTTTGATTGGATCTGTGCACTGCAATAAGGGTGCCAGAACTCTAGGTTTAAGCTTGGCTTTGATAAGTCTGAACATAGGGTTAAAGTACAATGCAGATGCTCAAGCCCAGGGTTCCCCAACATGGATCAGTTCACTTGAGTCCCACTAACCCTGGACTTACTTTGCAATATAGATATACCCTATATGCCCACAATGTGTAGAAGGAAGTTGCTCAACTTGAATGGAGAGCTGAGGGAGAAAGAAATGGATCAGATGAAGAGCTAGGAAGGGTGAACTGGGAATGACGGAGCAAGGAAATTGGGAGTTGAAGCACTGGGAGAAACAAGACTGGGATTCTGGGGGCAGGAGCAACAGGCAACCTTAATTAAGCCATTTCCTAACTTTTGAATGCTAAACTTTCCAACCTTAATAATATTCTTTTAGTATAGATGTGTGTCTGTAATACATATAGAGGGTCAAAAAATTTATAGCACTAGTATGGGCCTCTAATCCTGCCTCAGATAGTAAAGAAACGAACAGGAAGTGATTTAAATATACCCTCAAGGAACCTGCACGACAACTTTAATACTTATGCCTAAAGACAGAAACTGTTAACTAAGCATACTGTCGTTTAATGCAGTATGTGTCCAGATAGTTGGGCCCATAATAAAAAACGGAGAGTATCGGTTATTCCTAAGGTAAAGATTCTGTTAAGTATTTTCAGTAAAATATGGGAACTGGTCACGGGCAATAAATAAATTATGTGTCTGCAACCTAAAATTTAGTAAAAATCACTGAGAAAGATGGGTGTCTTTGGGGCATTGAGGACCACTACTTCAACAGCCCTAGGACTGAAGCCTGGACAGCTGCTCTGGCACCCCCAGGGTTGACTGCGGCAACTAGTGAAGTCCTGCCGCTGCTCCTATGGCAAAGGCTGACCCAAACTCCCTCCTCACTGTTTCAGACCTGAGGCCTCAGTTCCAGCAGCCCTGGGAATGACAGCTAAAAGTTTGACATGGCTGAAGTCACAGAGGGCTGGAAAAGTCATGAAATCCATCACCTCCATAAAAGAATTACACTTTTAGTGTCTGATGGAAGTCAAGGTCTGCCCTTATACCATAGAATAACAAGGCTGTCAATTAGGAAGGGGTGGTGGTGGGAAAGGGGGGGGATTTCAAGTGTCATTCCACTTAAAACTTCCACAGAAGTGAAAGTTCAACAGCAATGTTTAGAAGGTGCAAGGATATCTGAATTTCACAGCTCCCCCATATATGTTTAACTCCTATCATAGTATTTGAAGTTTTAAAAATTCTCACTGAAAATGCATATTTGAACTTCATTCTAATAGTTACCGAGGTCATACCTGATACCTTTGGTTTGTTTATATTTATGTTGCTCATTTGCATGTATAAAAATCTATATGCCCAGATAACAGATTAAAAAAATCCACCATTTCCAGAAATTGGAAAACACTATATTTCATATGACCAAAATATAGTATTTCATAACTGCGATGTCAAAGTATTAAAAATAATTTTTAAAGTGACATTGTAAGGTCATTTAGGCCTCAAATTTAAGTCCTGTAAAAAGTTTTACAAAACTGAACAACATTTACATAAAAACATTTTGTTCATTTAAATAGCCTATTTGAAATGGTCACACCTTATACATTCTACAGTGATGCAACAGAATCAGATTCTTCTTTACACTGGTCAACTGAAGAGCAGTGCAAATAGCAGCAAGGGGCAAAATATATTAAATTTTTAAAACCACTTTATTAATCTCGGGCATTAGCAAAAAGGGAAGTGATTATTTGAACACATACTATTTGACATTATTCCTTCAATGTAAAATAAAAAAGCAAGCTGAATTAAAAATTACAAGTAAAAACATGGTGTCTCATAGGGTAAAAACATACCTCCAAATCAACTCTGCATTTAACTGATTTTTTTTAATTACATGCTGATTTTAAGGCAGGATAAAATAGATACACTTTGTTCTGCCTCAAATGATTATAACAAAGCACATCTGCAACTCTCACTAATTCAACTGGGAGTTCACACAAAGGATATATGTAACACAAGACAATACTACTGCTCTTCTTCCTCAAGAGAGATACGCTGGTAGCACTACTTTGATAGTCTCTCCTTTGTAAGACTTCAAGATTTCATGAGGACTAGGAATGCAGAAATACTGCATACACAGAAGCACTCAGTGATTGAACAAGCTTATTTTTTCATGTACTACCTGTTCTGATAAAAGGCTATGATAAAGGCACTTTAAAAAACAAACACACGCCAACCTTGCTATTTCTTCTCGATGAGCAGTCCAGTCACGAATGTAGTCCTCCTGTTCCTTGATCCTGTGCTTGAACGTACTGCTAGTTTGCATTGCTGTCCCAGAGCTCTGCAATCGAGGGGTTTTCAGGGCTGGAGAAGTACGTAGACGGGTATGTTTAGGGGAATTACGGTTTGATCCAAATTCATCTTCTGAGGTGGAAGCATAATCTGTAGGAAAGCGCCTCCATCTTGAATTTACTAAATTAGTTTGATTATTAAAAAAGAATTATTATTGTATCTTTTCTAAAAAAAATAAAATTATTTCAAACACCACAACAAAACACCACAAGTGCTAAATATCAAACCCCAAGTACCTCACAAAAGAGTTTATTACATCTTAAAAAGAAAGATACTAAATTTGTGTTAAATAATAAATGTTTATTAATAAAATGTGGAAAAAGCTGATGCTCTTTGTATAATGGTGAGTAGATAAAAAGATGCAAATGCCAATATTCCTATATTACTAAAGCAAGCTGTGTTACAGAACGAGGGTCCAATTCATTAATGTTTATAGCGTTTGAATGTATTTTTTTTTCTTTTGTAAATTTTCCCCCACTCTCATTAACTTTAAGGTACTGATTTTAAATAGTATAGAGCCCCAAAAAATGAGCTGTATGAAAGAAAGATGAAGTTGGCACAATGTCTCTCAACATGGGCCAACATACAAAAAAAGCACATAATTCCTACAGAAGAAATTATGAATTTATTGTTCAAAAAACTCCTAACACTTTGTAATTCAACATCTTGTTACAAAAATCAGTAACATATCTACAACAATAGAATCCTCAGAGCAGACAGAACTTGTATTCACACTGCATTGCTGTAACCACATTGCTGAAAAAAAGGACAGAAGCAGTGGACAACTGAACAGAGCACGAGGATTTAACCGCTAGAAAATGGATTTTAGAATTGCCATCCTTGCACTTTTTTAGAGGGGAGAGCATTCCTTATTATAACATGCTGCACCCAACCAACCTTATGCCACAAAGCATCACAACCATCAAATATTAATTCTTTGTTAATCACTGGCTCTAAAATCAATTCTCGTGGACTAAAGATTCATGTTAGGAAAATTCTTAATGTAATTTGTTAGTATTAGAATAACCTGATTTTAAGTTAGGTGCTAACATCTTAATTCAATAGTTAGAAAATGTGAAAACACCTTTGTTTAGGTTGGTTAGGTGTGCTGATTATACTTTTTTTTTTAAAAACTGGTATATTCAAATGGATATACTGTACTTATTCTTGTTCTTGGTAGTTTATAAATCATCAATGCAAGATGTAATTAATGTAAATATATAGTGGACATGAATAATAAAAAATACAAGAAAATTAAGATGGACTTTCTCCATAATTGTTATTAAAAGGGTAGCAAATTAGTCATAAATCAGAGGTCAATACAGGTACAGATATTTGCAATGTGAATTTTTAGTTGAGCACAGGTTTGTATAATGCTCTGAAAGATTACAATATGTAAAGTGTGATGCTGGAGTAGAAACATAAGTCCCTTTCCTCATTTAAACATTGCCTTTTTTAATTGTTAAATAGAAATATGATTAAAATATTTTTTCAGGCAATTTAAAAGGAAGTGTGGTCGCAAGCCTTGTCCAAAGCACATTGACTTCAAAGGGCTTGAAATCAGGTTATATTTTACCATCTGTTTTAATATTCAAAAATTATCAAGAGAGAACAAAAAAGGTCTATCCATTGACCCACTTCCCTTTAACTTACGAGATTCTAAAGTTTTTCTTATCAAGGAAAGCAGAACATAAGCAGAAAAAGTATTCCTTTCCTTCTTCCTCTCCAAAAAAGCATACAAGTAGTATGTAAGATTTCAGATGGAAGACTCTGAGGTTGAGCCCAAAGTTCATCAATGAAGTCCCCTAATAATAATTTTGCATGTTTAAATTAATCTTTTTGTCCTCATTTTTTTAAATTGAAATGAACATCAAATTTGCTGAAAAATGATTTCTGAAAGGTTTCTTAAAGAGCTACTTTAATAACTCAGCACTGTACAATGAGCATAAGTAGTTAAATTTAAAAACTTAAGGATTGAATGAACAGTGAAATATTAGAAACAGATATGATTTCTAGTACTCTACCACTGTAAGTTTCAACAGCAGGATCTGGGTCTGGGAGAAGCTGGGAATTTTCTGTGTACAAAATATTGTTTTATCATGTTAATTATTAATGAAAACATTCAAATTTGAAGTATTTGCTTAACAAAAATCTACTGATGAAATTTAGTGTTAACCCTTCCCTTCTTCACAGCAGTATATGGTTTAGAGAAAAGCAAAAAAATTGTTGCAGATATTCTTAATTATAAATTATTTAAAAAGTAACTGATTCTGAAAAAGTGAAATTCAACAGAGAACTGCTATATAAATTCAATCACATATATGACTAAGACTGCTAAATAGAGCCAAAACCCTGTTTAATGTTTTGAAAGATCATAAGGATCTGAGCCCGCCAAATGCTATTGTGTTGCTTTTTGAGCTATAGATTTCTCTTAGTAAATTTTGGGAAATTATTGTGGAGTTACAGTAACAATATCACAAGTCATGTAAATCATGACATACATTAACAAAATTCATGTTTTACGTTAACCTAGCTATCTCTTTTCAAACACAGAATTTAAAAAAACCCAACACTTTTGAGCCCTCTGAACGTGCAGCCCCTTGAAGCCAGATCCCAACTCAATCAACAGCACAGGTCTTAACATTTGGTATTCCTTGCCTCCATAATCATAGATTTTGAGTCAACTAAAAGATCCAAGTGTTATGTTGCTCCTGAACCATTTTTTTAAAAAGAGATTTGCCTTCACTGCTGCTTCTCTCTCTCTGCCTGTTGGTTTGCAGTGACTTCTCCATCCTGAGGCCAGTTAACTAGTACAGTTGCTAATCATGTCACATGCAGCTGTTCCAAAAGGTGTGTTTGTCCTTTCATCTATCCTTGCTGTTAACTCTTATGACCACCATTTTCTTCCCATCAACGTCAGATTCAGACTTTAAGGCTAAAAGGGACCACTGTGATCATCTAGTCTGACCTCCTGCATACTTCAGGCCACAGAACCTCACCCACCCACTCCTGCAATAAGCACATAACCTCTGGCTGAAAGTCCTCAAATCACGATTTAAAGATTTCAAGCTATAGAGAATCCAGCATTTCCTCACATTTAAACCAGTAAGTTGACCATGATCATGCTGCAGAAGGTGGTGTCCCCTTCTCAGGGTCTCTGGCTCAGAATAAAATTCCTTCCTGACCACAAATATGGCAGCCAGTCGGACCATGAGTATTTTGACAAGACCTATCAGCTAGACACCTGGGAAAGAATTTTCTATAGTAACTCAGGGTATGTCTACACTGCAGGCTTTTGCTGGCAGACAGTATGCTAATGAAGTGCTCACTAGCATTTGTTGCACTGTCATTTGCGCAAAAACAATCAGGGTAGATGGGTCCAGTTTTAGCCCATATACCTCCTTTTTTGAGCTTAGGGTACCCCTACGGGTGGGTTCAAATGTTCAGCCCTGATTTTAGGGATAAAATCACTTGTTGGTGGCAGCTTCTTTGTTTGTTGTTTATTTCTCAGAGCCAGGGAATCTGTGACTCTGGGAAGTTTTGTTAACCAGTGCCTGTAGAGGCAAGGTTTTTATGCTCTCTTGTGGGCCCTCATATTCTGCACTTGGAGTGCCAGAGTGGGAACAGCCCTGACAGTCCAAAAGTACACTTTACACTATTTAGTTTCATCTCATTTTATTGCTCCAGTTTTCAAAGTCATCCAGATCTCCTTGTCAGGTACCCTGATCCTCATTTATATTGACAGTATGTCCCAACTTTATGTCAACTACAAAATTTTATTAGCATATTCTTACTTTGTGTGTCAAGGTCATTAATTAAAAAGTTGAATGGAAATGGCCTCAAGACCTGTCCCTGAAGTGCTACACTAGTAACTTCCTTCCAACCGAACAGTTCACCTTTCATTATAATCCCTTTAACCAGTTCCTTATTTACATTTCAATTCTCATATTAATATTCATGTTCTTCAATTTAAACAAATAATTTCCCATGTTCAACTGCATCAAATGCTGTATGGAACTCCAGGTAGATTAGTTCTATTGTGTTCTCTTTGTCTCAAAAATCAGTTATCTTCTCAAAGAGATCAGGTTAGTTTGACACAATCTACCTTTAGTAAAACCTTGTTGTACAGGTTGAACCTCTGTAGTCCAGCATCCTTGGGACTTAAGCGCCACTGAACCAGAGAATTTGCAGAACCATCAGCGATTAATGTGGCCAAGAAGCATTACAAAACCTTCCACTGCCACTGCTTACTGGGCTCTTAGAAGACATTTAGAGGTAAATTAGATCTAAATAACAGCACAAAAAATGGAGAGCCAGGACTGGTGACTGTAAACAAACTTTATGGGATTGTGGGAAACTTGGCCACACCTGTGGTAAGTGGACATCCAGCTAACTAAAATCATGCCAGACCATAGATGTTGCCAGATCAGAGAGTGCTGGATTAGAGAGGTTCAATCTGTACTTAAGATGATTACCGTTTACTCCTACGTCCTTAACTACTTTATCTTTCAAACTTTGATCTAAGACTTTGCATGCAAATTAGGTCAAATTTACAAGCCTGTAGTTTCCTGGATCACTGCCCACATACTCTCTCAAAATAGGTCCTATGTTAGCAATTCTCCACTCTCAAAGTACAACTCCAGCAATTATGGAATCATTACAAATTCTTGCTATTGGGCTTACAATTTCATGTATTATTTTCCTTAAATATTTTTGGATGGAGATTATCCAGTTTCCCCAATTTTGGTCTCACTAAACTTCTTGAGCTTGACTGCCACTTTACATGTGGAAATTCATATTCCATTATCCTTACTTCTATTCGTTACCATGCCACTACTCCTAAATTGAGACAAAGTGTTTGACTATGAAAGGGATAAAAATACATAGAGAAGTTCATAGAGGATATATCCATAAATGGTTATTGGCAGGGTTAGTGTCCCTAATATCTGGTTGCCAAAAACCGGTAATTGATGACAAGGGATGAATTATTTGAGGATTACCTGCTCAGTTCACCCCTTCTGAAGCACCTGGCCTTGGCCACTGTTGAAAGACAGGATAGTGGGCTAGATGAACCTTTGGTCTGACCCAATATGGTCATTTTTATGTTCTTATGTTTAGGTGCTGTGCCATACCTAGATTGTATTTAAGCTACACCCCATCCTCAGTACTTAATGGACCCATTCCTTTCATTTCCTCTTAAAAACATTTATATGGCTAGAGAACCTTTATGATTGGTTTTAATTTCTTTTGAAAGGTCCAACTCCCCTTGGTTTTTGGCAGTTCTCATATTTTTCCCACATTTTCCGAACTCCAAAAGGTAGCTTTCCTTGCTGATCCATCCCAAATTTCATTCCTTATAACCTTTTTCTTAATCTTAATTGAGATTGCTCATCCAAGCTTGGACTGCAATCCTTCCTTATTTTTTCCCCTTTGCTTGGAATAATTTTTGTAACTATGGTTTATGGCACTGTTTCTTAAACTGTGTTCTACGGTACACCGATGTGCTGTGAGGCAGTTGGAGGTGTGCTGAGGAGAACAGAATTCAAAATGGCCACCCTTAAAGGGGCAGGCGACCTTTTTTTTGCTCAATAACTTCTCCCCTAACCCTTTCCCCCCGCCTGACTTCTTTTTTTTTCTCTCAACAAAAAATCCTTGGTGTTGCCCATAAAAAAACAATTATTGTTTGGTGATCCTCGGACTTAAAAAGTTTAAGAAACACTGGTTTATGGTAATTCTAAACCTCTTTACATATAACTATTTCCTCTAATGGTCTTTAAACAACTTTACAAATTAATAAAAGAATGAATGAAGCCTCCTAACAATCTGCTGAGGTGGGCAACAACTGTTGTTTTAGAATAAAGCAAAGAGAGGCATGTTGGGCCTATGTACATTACACCAGTATAGCCACAGACACAAATTTCTGTAATCTATACATGCTTGTAGTACCATAGCCAGAAATCAAAAAGTAAGTTTGTGAAACAGCCACATATGGAATCCAGAACTCCTAACTCCCAAGTAGTAGTATACTCTTTTTGATATTACCTAGTGCTTGAAGAATTCATTAGACAATACCTTCTCACTGATATTGGTTGTGACTGTTTTGTTAATTGCTTCCACCCCCTTTACGCTGAGATTTTGTTTTCCTTTAATGTTAGTGTTTACAATGATGTTTTGTTTTTTAAAGAGTAGTAGCTCTTTCTACAGCAAATGCTCCAAATAATTTTGGTGTGCCCATTTATCTGTTTTGCTATTTTAGGACAGATAGCTCATAATGTGGCAAGCTTTTGAGCTTTTCCCTTTGAAACTGTGAATATTTTTTATACAAACTGCAGTAGGTTCTGACCATGGAATGCAGTTAAATCAACAAGAACATTGCAGGAATGAGAGCTGTAATGAACTAAGAAGAAAAGACTAAAGCATTTCCCATTGGTAATGTAGCTAAACACTTAAATATAGAAGAAGCATGTGGAAAGTCTCAGAGGGGTAGCTGTGTTAGTCTGTATCTGCAAAAACAATGAATCTTGTGGTTCCACTCCAATTCTTCTGATGAAGTGGGTTTTATCCGTGAACGCTTATACCTTAAGGCTCCTTATTGTTTAGGAATTTGGAATTCAGTAAACATACTGTAGCTCATATTTTCACTAATCTGCACCCCTCTCCCAAAAAACCTGCTGACTCATATTTGTGTTGCAAACAAAACATTTATATGACAAAACAAGAAATTTCTAGTCTTTACCTCTTTAAAATATCAATACCATCAGGGTCTGGAATAATTACAGCTAATTTTAATTAAATCACCTTGTATATTAATGCATCTTGACTGGCTTCTCAGTAATAACCTTTTTGCCTCAACTGATGTTACTGTTAGACTGCAGACATGAACCATCAGTTCTAAACGTGCCTGATATAAATACCCATACAGATGATCAATATGCTGGAAAAATATCTTCATCTCCCTTCTGAAATATTAGACTAGATAGTTCAGGGTATTTTTTTTATTTTCAATTGAATTCATAAGGATTACTGGCATTTCTGAAGACAACATTCAGAATATAGCAATACATGCAATTTCACATATCAGTGAACATTCAGCTTTAATGTTCAAGGAACTGATTTCTCTTAAATTAACCTGTGATTTAACCAGTTTTTCTGGTTAAAGGCAATAAATATTGGTGAGCCACACAGCAGAAGTTAGTAACTGCTAAATTTGCAAATTACACATCAGCAATGGGTTTGCCAAAACAGCTTGGTTTATATAAAAATGTGTAAAAATATACAAATGTTTTGTATAATGGGTGGAAATAGGAAGTATAATACACTGTGTTCTGATGACCATTCATATCAATGAATGCAAAGGAACCACTCAAATACAGTGAACATGTCATCTGGTGTTTTTGAAGAAAAATCTGTATTTAATTTAACTTAGCAGCAATAAAGTTCAAAAGGTGAGCAAAGCTCTAGTTACCATGAATAAACTTATTAACAAGATGACTTATTTACACAAACATTCTTTAAGTGATTTAACTAATCGTGTAAGAGATTTCAAGTATCTATGACATTGCATTTTTCCCCATTGTCATTCATCAGTTTTAAACAATATTACCATTACAACGGTAGGCTCAGAATTCTTAATTGCAATATCTGTTCATATAAATATTAAATAATAGGGGAGATTCCAGAGGCTGAATTAACAATGTTGGCGGTCCATGACTTAGATCCTGTATAGATCCTCTCTTTTCACATAGAAATAAACAACAGAAATTGTTCTTGGGCAGACTTGTATCCCATGAGAGTGAAATAGATTTGGGTTAACCCACATGTTGTTTAGTTTTGGAATATTTCTTTCAGTATTTTTGTGCTTAGAAGTGTATATGTTTTCCTATTTGTTATTTTTTACTTTGCTTATTTCTATAAGTAAATTACATGTTTGCACTTTTAGAAGAAAATCTATCATCTATCTTGTTGATGTCCCATGCCTTCAACAGGCTGCATTCATACTTCTGGATTCTTACAAACACATTATCTAATTTCTGTGTCATTGAACAGTGCTGTGGATCTTCTAAACTTTTAGAATTCTGACCCAAATAAAAGTGGTTTCTAGTGTTTCTACATTTTTGTACTATGCTAATTACTATAACATTTGAGCACTTCAGATACTATAGTTGATTAGAAGTTTCAGGGAATAATCATATAAACCAAATGGCTAAGGATTTAAAATCTCGTCTTTGTATTAAATTTAAAAATATCTGCAATGATAAATAATAGTGCTTTATTAAAAGAAGAGGACTGCTTCAACCTGATGTTTGTGTTAATGCTTCATAATAAAACATTATTAGCTTAGCACTTCTAAAAAGCGAAAAGCCCAAGAAAATAAACAAAATATCAAGTACTGGAAAGATTAAATCCAAATAAACTCACATACCTGATGGAGAATTATGGGCAGAAGTCAATGATTTGGATTTAGAATCGGAAAGTCGAGAAATGCTATTGGCTCTAGTTCTAGCAGAAATTTTACTACTATCTGCTGATGGTGTTAATCTTACACCACTTCTAATGATGGCTTCTGCTGTACGAGATGAGGCAGTGCTTCTAGATATTGTGGCTTCAGAGTCACTACGTGCTGATAAAGAACCGAGCCTAGTTCTGCGTGGTTGAGCAAGTAAGTCAATCCTGGAAATAGTTCTCCTTCCTGATGGAGGCTTTGATGTAGAACTTGTAGTGGACACTTCAGAAGCCACTGAAGCTTTATCTGCATCAGCAAGTTCACTATCTGAGGCTTCACCAAGTCGTGCTCTACGCAAGAGAGAAGTCCTTGTGGGGCGAGGCCTTGGAAGAGTGATTGACTTACTTGATTGCCCAGTTGTAACTGGAGAGGTCTTTGATTTAGCTGACTTACTGCCTTCCATTTTGGAATGTAAGAGTTCATCTGCAGAGGTAAAATGACCCCTTCCATGTGATTTGCCAGAGTAAGTTTCTTGGTCAGATGACAAGATGTCAGAAATGGCAGAATGAGGCACACTAGATGTTTGGTCATCATCTGTTAAATCTACAGAAGGTTGCCTTATTCTTCCACTGGGTTGCACAAGTTTACGACCATCTGATCGTGAACCAGCATCTGAAGATCGGCTTTTAGTTTTCTTTTCTATCTTTTCTCTAGCATTTATTGCAGAAGATGATTTTAAAACATCCTTGGAAGGAGAACTAGTGGAACATCTATCTTTATAGAGAGTAGTAAAACTCTTACGCTTTTGAGTGGATTTTCTTTCAGTGTCACCAGTAACCAGACTAATTGTGCTAGCTGTGTCCACATCAGATTCTGGTGATATGGAATTATCTCTGTTATAGCTAGGAGTTTCGGGTCCTTCATCTGTTTTATTTTCTTCACGTAATTTAGCTTCAAGGAAAGCCATTACTGCTTCTGTGTCTTTTAAGATAAGTGTTGTATCCAGACTAGAATCAGTGTCCACAGAGTCACTTCTCTCACGTATTCTACTTGTAGAGGTTAAAGCAAATGAAGGGGGAGTAGATCCAGTTTGCTTATTAATATGAGGAATAAGTTCTATAGGTATATTTGTGCTAGGTTTATCTATAGTAAAGCTGCCTTGTCTCACTAATGGTTTTGAAGATTCTTTCTTCTCTCCACCTAATCCTTTTGGAATTTGGCCTTTTATAATTTCCTCAGGTTTTTTTCTTTTCCCTTCACTTTGTACCATCTTCATTTCTGCTTTATTTGTAGGATGTCCTGGAGCCTTTTCTTGATGATTATCCAACATTTTATGTGAAGTAGGAGTCTCCTCTCTACCTCTCTCAACTTGACTGGCAGTAAGTTTAGCTGAAGATATTTTAGCTGAAGTCCTATGTGTCTGCTCCTTTTGCTCTTGCTGTTGAATTTTAGCTAAAGCTTGCTTTACAACTGAAGTTTCCCTGATAATTTCATTTTTCCCTTTACTGGAAGAAGGGCAGCTGTTGGGGTGAGAAGACACTTGGTTGTCTCCACCAGCTTTAGGAGCAAGGCCATTCATTGTTCTTTTCATCTTAGTCATGCTTCTATTACCTGCATCTTGTGGCATTTCTTTCTGGGAAGCATGAGTTGGAGTTTCTTTCTCTTGAAGTTCTGTGTCTTGCTTTTCACCTATCTCTGATCTCTGATGAGGTATAACCTTTGCTCTTGAACTTTCAATGACTTTTTCCTCTTTTGGAAGCTGTGGAAGTGTTCTCCTCTTTCGCTCCCCTTGACTTGTCACAGAAGTGGCCGAGCCAGCACTTCTAACTGAAATACCAGATTCACTGATGTCAGTATCTAAAAATGGGGGGAAAAAAACTCTTTGAAATAAGTCACTAAAAAGCAGATCTGTCAATGGAAACATGCATTCTTTAGGTTTCATAATAGTTTACTATATATTTCAGAGAGTTTGTATATCTGTCCATCCGTCCATGTGAGAGTCTCTCTCTGTTCAAGAACTCCTAAATGGTAAGAGCTAGGACAACGAAATTAGGTATGCAGCTTCCTCTTATCATACCTTAAAAGACAGATAAGGTTTTGGTGGTGCCAGGACAATGGGATGTGCTTGGAATTCAATTGTTTCTCACCAAATGGAAAGAGAGGGGTCTGATAGCAGGGGCAATTATACTCCAGAATGACCACAGAGGGAAGCAAGCACACCAGCATTAGGGAACAACCGCTACCCAGGCAGTGCAACCTGCAGAGCCACAGATGGCTCTGAGGAGCAGCTGCCATCCAGACAGTGTGCCCCCCTGGGAAGCCTTCCCTCAACAGCTCCCAACCCCTGCCCTGACCTGCGCACCACCTACCCTGAGCCTCCCCATCCCATCCCCTACCCCGCTCCTGCACCGAACCCCTCCTCTTCCTCTACCCTAACTCCTGCACCCCTCACATCTCCAGCCCCCTGACTTAAGCCCTCCCAAAGCCCTGCCCTGACTCCTGCGCCCCCCCCCCCCCA